GTATATATATATTGATATATATATATATATATATATATATATATATGTACGTATATAGTATATATATATATACGCATGAAAGGTCTCTGAATCTAAATATGCTAGGCGGGATTTCTAATTCACACGTTGAGAAGCTACTGTATGTGACAGGGCTCCCCGACAGATTTCAATTCGATTTGCCCTTAAGGTACAAGATGTGTGTGCGGATTGGTATATCGCACCATAAAAATTCAAGCACGCTTTCACATCATACGCTCTTAGAAGGAGCATCGCTCCTCTACTGTCGATACCGATCTACGCAGAACTCAACCACATACTCTGAGGGATTGAAATGTTCCTTTGTGCGCAGCAAAATCTCTTCGTATGTGCGCAACCGGTCAGAGTACTGCAGCAACTGGCGCCGACACGCCCACATACGCAACTGCTCCTCAGAGGGCACAGAGTGCCCGACCGACCCCATCGCATTCGCGTCCGCGTCCGCGTTCTCATCCGAAAGTTCGGTACCATGATTCATAGGGGCTCCTACGTTTGGTGACTGCAAGTCTTCGTCCGTGTGATCCCAGGTGTCACTATTGTTGGTCAAGTTAAGACCATACTCTAGCAGCTCGCGGCACCGGTCGGCGGTCTCCAGCACGACTGTGGTGCACTCGTTCAACACCCAGTCCACATCGGAGATATGGTCCAGGTATCTGGCGGGTGTTCGTACGGAAATGGGTGGGGGTGGGGTGTGGCTAGTTAAGTAGTTGATACTGCAGAAAGGACTTCGTACGGGAATGGGTGGGTGGCGTGGCTGGTTAAGTAGTTGATACTGCAGAAGGGACTTCATACGGAAATGGGTGGGTGGTGTGGCTGGTTAACTAGTCGATACTGCAGAAAGGACTTCATACGGAATGGGTGAGTGGTGTGGCTGGTTAACTAGTTGATACTTCAGAAAGGACTTCATACGGAAATGGGTGCGTGGTGTGGCTGGTTAACTAGTTGATACTGCATAAAGGACTTCATACAGAAATGGGTGGGTGGTGTGGCTGGTTAACTAGTTGATACTGTAGAAAGGACTTCTTTCGGAAATGGGTGGGTGGTGTGGCTGGTTAACTAGTTGATACTGCAGAGAGGACTTCATACGGAAATGGGTGGGTGGTGTGGCTGATTAACTAGTTGATACTGCAGAAAGGACTTCGTACGGAAATGGGTGGGTGGTGTGGCTAGTTAACTAGTTGATACTGCAGAAAGGACTTCGTACGGAAATGGGTGGGTGGTGTGGCTGGTTAACTAGTTGATACTGCAGAAAGGACATGGTCGCTCGTAGAAGATGGCTTTTTGTCATAGTGGGAGTTATGCTTGAAACCAGTGGTTGCGCGGGTGATACAACGCGGATTGAGTCGTGTACACATCCCTGTGCAAAGTGTTCCGCATCCACACATGCGACAACGTTTACTCCAAGGCACAATCGAATCCCGACTCACACAATCAGGGCTACAAACCGCTCGAATAGTGTCCGGCACACAAATACCTACACACATTCAGACAACATACCTACTCATGGCCAGGGGATCAACACCGCACGTGTCCATCCACTGTTGCTGGTACACCACATCGGTATTCAAGTTGTACACAGCCGCCAGCTTCAGCGCCACGTCGAACTGCTTGTCGCGCACTCGCGCGGTTAGCAGTTCCTCAGCAGTCACGTACGACACCACACCCAGCCGGTGGTATGTGCGGTGCACGCGCAGCACTATGCCGTTCAGCGCGGCGGCCGCCCCTCCGCGCAAGGCATCGGGCAAGGACATACCCCACGCGACATACGAGTAAATACACAGCAACAGTACGCCACACAACGCGGCGATGGCGCCAATAACCAGCAGCTGACCCATGGTGTAGACGCGGAAAACGCACGCGTACATGGAGGTGGCGGTGAGCGTCCACAGTAGTAGGAATCCGACTACGAACACGATCGGGCCGCGAGTGCTAGCGGTCTCCTTCTCGATGTTAAGTTTGTTCTTAGCCGCATGCTTTGCTTTCGCAGCACTCATGCCATCAGTATTCTCCGCATGTGTACCTGTAGTCGTGTCTGTAGCTGTTTGCTGATGTGTGCTCTGATGCTCGTCCGTACCCTCGGTGCTGGCCTGCAACCCGTTACCCGCAATCTCTCCATTTGCTTCCTCACTGGTTTTGACCCCCGCTTGATTCTCAGTGCCAAACTGCGGGTGGGCCACAGGTAGCGCCTTCTCCTCCCACTCCAGAAACGCAAAGCCCCGCTCTCGCACCACCGACGCAGTGACCTGGGCCGATGGCTGCAGCACCAGCACACCCCCGTGCAGCAGATTGCGAATGTACCTGATTTCTCTCTCGCTGTCTGGTATTCCTGCGGATTCGACAATAGCCTCCGCAGTCTCGCCCTGTGTCGGGCCGCGACCAATACGAGTACGAAGTTCCCTGCCTTTTTCAGAGCTGCCTGTGTGTGCGTTACTTACACCTGAGGTGGCCTTCGTATCCCCCGCTTTCTCGTCCGCATTGGTGCGTATACTCACAACGAACACAAGCCCGTGCTTGGAGGTCAGCGTCACACAATTCGTATCCCACCAGCTTGCGCCTGTTACATAGTCGTCTTTGATCTTGATATCGTAGCCCACTCTGCGCTCGTCTGCAGAAACGCCTTTGCTTTCACCACTAGGAGTACTATCGTCGAGTATCTGGTTGAGCCCATTAAGTCCTGTCTCAGAGTCGTCGGACACTCTCGTCCCTCCTCTCGCAGTGGTGTGCTGGTACATCAGCCACACATTGAGCGTGTGTGCTGAGATATAGCTCAGCAGCCGAAACGATGGATATGCGACTACTCTCAGCGCACCCGTAGCATCCAGCGCCAACAGACGGGCGCCTTTCTGATCGAACGCTGTGTGTGCAGTGTACGGGCACCGCTGATAAGCACCGGGCAGTAGCGCTGGGGGAACCACAGCTGTCATAGCACGCCATACAATGGAATCGGTCTTGACCATAAATGGGCCACTAGCCTGGGTGGCCCTGCCACTCAGCGTCTGATTCTTGTCCGTGCTGGATGGGGTCTGGGCTGTTGCAGGTTCGCCTGTGGTGCTTGAGGGGATCAGGTCGACACGGTACACATGTGAAGTGCCGTTGCTCTCCGGAGATACGCGATAGCATTGCACAGAGGGGAGACTCCGTGAAACCGGATAGCCCCCCACCACCAGGCGTGCTTGAGCAGCATCCACCGTCAGCGTAGTGGCAAGGGTGAAGCTCTGGGAAAGGTCTTCCATGTGCTTGAGCGTGTACGCACTCCCACTCTCCGGAGGGCTCAGCTCGTAGCAGTACAGCGTGGCGTTGTAAAACAGCACGTAGAGGTACGTTGTGGTAGCACCGGTCGTCGTCTCCTCGTCTGTGAGTGACGGTGTGTGCATGACGCTGGTGACGTCCATGAACCCTACAGCCGCGACAGCTGACGACAGGTCTAACCGTGCTTTGGCAGTAGTGTTTCCGCCCATTGACCTTTTGGGGCGCGAGTCTGAGGCGGCCTGTTGCGATGAACAGATGTCTATCTCGTACCAGATTTTGCCTATCGTTTTATTGGAACGTGGGAGTATTGTAGTATGTACAATGAAACAGTAATACGAATAACGGTGCAGGTAGTGTTGAAGAAAATTATATAGGGTTGTAAACTTACGCCCGCAGACGCTCATAAATTGATTCAGCCCTTTCGAGAGCGAGATTTGAAGACAAACCAGCAGTAGAACATATGACGCACTGATAGTAACACTCTTATAGACTAAAAATTCGAATTTCAACGCAAGGTCCGCAAAATAGGAAACTCTGATGCTCGTGGATTCATAAAGACGCAAACATACCCAGAGTGGTGACGATGTGTATTTTACCGCCGGAAATAACGGCCAATAGGTTAGCTCCCCCGCCCCAGGCCATTACACGCCATCTGGGTGCCCTGTCTTCCGTTACACGCACCTGCACACGGCACACTTTAAAGTTGTCCGCAGAACTGCGAATCTCCAGGCGTCGGTCGCGCAGTAGTGCAATGTGCTGGCCGTGCCTGATAGAGTGCAATTGGGTTGGGGAAGGAAAGTACTGTATGTGATATGATAATCAAAAGGCGTACCGAATTTGCGCGCCGCAATATTAATACTGATCTGATTGAGCACACATGTGTGCACGCTTACATTCATTGTACTCCGCGTGCTTGGGATGATAGCGCGTGCACAACGTGGCTTGAACACGTGTGCGCCAATTCCAGCGCATGCTGCAATTTAGACGTGCTGTACTGAAGCAAGGTTAAAGAGCTATGCAAGACCAACTACGCACGTGACTACCCCAAATGCCAGTGGTGCGGTGGGCTCACTACACTTTCTGCACAGGCGACTGTGCGAGTGCGGCAGAGAGAAAGTAGAGCATGCTACTATACGTGCTGCGGGGGTATGTACTCGGGTGTACTCGACATATGAGACACGCAGCCTGTGTCAGTGCAGCCTACAGAGCTATTCGGCGCACAAATACCAGACAAGCCGAACAGCGATCAACGCAGGCACATAAAAGTACTGCGGATAGAGTGCTATTGCAAGTGAATTCAGGACAATTAAACCGCAGATGCACCATACCGGTCAATAGACATGGTCCAATCCCGGCCGAGGTCATCCAAACGTCGTACAAGCGATGCATGATGTCCGTATCCTAACCTATACAACCCCCAAAAACAAAAATAAGAGGGCATGAATCTTGCTTCGTTCATATTCAAATCTGTACATGAGAGCCATATAGTAGTTCTGCATGATATGCGAAAAAATAACATTGACAACCAAATATGTACAAAGATAGGTATCTAAGATCAAATGTTCATAGTAGAGTAAATTTGAAATACACATTAATCTTGATATTAATCATATAATTTATGACTAAACAGGTAGTTTGAGCACCAATTTGACTGATGATGTACATAAAACACACCCGGGTAGTATGAATAATAGATTACAACTGCAAGTTCGCCCAAATAACAGATTAATGATGCACGTAAATATGCTTGTATGTGTGTAAGTTTATATGTAAATATGTATGTAGTAAGTATGTATGTGTGTGTGTATGTATGTATGTATGTATTTATGTATGTATGTATGTATGTATGTATATATGTATGTATGTATGTATGTATGTAAGCGTGTATGCATGTATGCAATTATGTATATATGTATGTATGTATAGATATATGTATGTATGTATGTAGTTAAGTACTTATGTTTTATGTATGTTTTATGTATGTGTGTATCTATGTATGTACTTGTGTTTGTATGTATGAATGTATGTACGAATATATATAAATATATATATATATATATATATATGTGTGTGTGTGTGTGTGTGTGTGTGTGTGTGTGTGTGTGTGTGTGTGTGTGTGTGTGTGTGTGTGTGTGTGT